CTTTCTAAGGTAAAGGTTCCCCTCGCGCATATGTGCTAGTCATTCCCGACTCTAGGGGGCAGTGCTCATCTCCGTTTCTAAGCTGAAAAGCCAGCGCTGTCCAAAGACATCTCTGTGGTCATGTGGCCATCATGACTAAATGCCAAAGGCACATGGAACACTGTTATCTCCCCACCAAAGGTGGTCCCTATTTTTCTACTTGCATTTTTACATGCTTTCGAACTGTTAGGTTGGCAGAAGCTGGGACAAGTAATGGGAGCTCACTCCGTTATGCGGCGCTAGGGATTCGAACCACCGAACTGTCGATCTTTCTGAGCGACAAGCTCAGCGTCTTAGCCACTGAGCCACTGCATCCCTTCCTTCTCATTAGGTGGCCAAAGTCTTTGAGTTTCCTCTTCAGGATCTGGCCTTCTAAAGAGCAGTCAGGGTTGATCTCCAGGACTGACCGGTTGGATCACCTTGCAGTCCAAGGGACTCACAGGAGTCTTCTCCAGCACCAGAGTTCAAAGGCCTCCATTCTTTAGCGCTCAGCCTTCCTTATGGTTCAACTTTCACAGCCATCCATTGCAACTGGGAAAACCATTGCCTTGACAATACACACTTTTGTTGGCAGGGTGATGTCTCTGCTTTTTAATATGCTTTAGTATAGTAATTCAATTCAGCAATGTAGTGTTTAATACTTGCTTTCTAAGGTAAGGGCTACAAGGATGTGCCTGGTGCCTCCATTAACCAAGAGCTATTGCAGATAATTGATAGATGTTTCTACTGATTGCTAAGCAAGACTTTTAGCTTGTGGTTGGTAACAGGAAGGCTGAAGGGGGGAGAAAGAGACACACAGGACTAAGGAGAAGGATCTAAGGCAGAATGGAGGTGAGCCAATTTTGAATCTAAAGATGGTAAAAGAAAACAGTAGATACAGGTTATCCTTGACTTACAACTACAATTGAACCCAGAATTGCTGTTGCCAGGTGAGACATTCGTTAAGTGAATTCTGCTTCTTGTTACACCCTTTTTTGCCACAGTTGTTAAGTGAATCACTGCAGTGGTTAAGTTATTAAAATGGTTGTTGAGTGAATTGGGCTTTCCTATTGACTTTGCTTAGCAGAAGGTTGCAAAAGAGGATCATATGACCCCCGGCACATATTGATATGTCATTGCAAACCGTCATAAATGTGAGTCAGTTGCCAAGTGTCTGAATTTTGATCACGTGACCATGGGGATGCTGCAACAGTCAAAAGTGTGAAAAAAGGTCATAAGTCACTTGTCAGTGCCATGGTACCTGAACAGTGACTAAACAAATGGTCATAAATTGAGGACTACTTGTAGTGTCTTCTTATTCCTGAGACTTCTTGATAACTGCAGGTGTGTCTCTTACATGTCTGGGGCATCAGCTGCAAATCCCCAGAAACCCATCAGGGCATTGCCATTTGTTTCCCTCCCACTCTTGTTCTCAAAACTCACCCCCTGTGGATTTATACTTCAAGGGTGTCATGTGGATAAAACAAAATTTCCTGCTACCTGAGGATGTGGAGATGCAGAACGAGTCGCTGGAGGTCTGCTTCACCTCCCTGCGTGACACGGGACAGCTGGGCATCCGAATGAGTTCCAGTGGAGAGGTACTCTCATGCTTGTCTCATTTATGTCTCATTTAAGAGCACAGTGGTTAGAGTGCAGTCCTGCAGGCTACTTCTGCTGCACTGCAATTTGGCAGTTCGAATCCCACCAGGATTAAGGTTGACTCAGCCTGACTCTTTAAATCGATTAGAGAGGGCTGTAAAGCACTGTGAAGCGGTATATAAGTCTAAGTGCTATTGNCACTCCCATCCGGTCACATGGGCGGCAAGCCACTCCCACAAAGGAGGCCACACCCACAAAGTAGGTTCGAACAATTTTTGAAACCCACCACTGGTATGTATGTATGTATGTATGTATGTACGTATGTATATATGTATATATGTATATGTGTGTGTGTTTATGCATAAAAATTAAATTTGAGTGCAGTCACTTCAGTTGAGACTGCTCAGCACATTTCCCCTTGTCTTCCCCACCTGTCATTTCCAAAAAGTTTTGAATTCTGGAGAATCCAGGTAAGTATATTTGACAGCCCTTTCACAATTAAAACAGTAGTTTCCTTCCAAATCTTGCCTTTGAATGAGAACCTAATTGGAACTTAATAGCGGCCTATGCAGAGGTATAAAATATTTCATGTGGTTTTTCCCTTTGCACGTGTGTGCATTTTTTTTAGCCCAGTTTTGCCAGTAGAAGGAAGTATGAGGCATGCAGGATATTAGGGAATTTGTGTGAGTTGGAATAACTCCTAATTCTTAGGCAGCAGGAAGAGAAGGTATATAAAGGGGCTGCGAAGTAATGAAACTACATCCCCTCATTTGCATCTGAAAATCTCCACCTGTCCCTGGGCTTTGAATGTACTCATCTCTTGTTCTTTTAAGCATCTACAATTCACTCATGAGATACACAAACTTTTAAAACAAGAGTTCAGAGTCCCAGATACATCATGTTATTCCAGAAAAATTACTTGATTAACATCCTTATGCTATCTGGCAGTGTGGGCATGAGAGACATTTTCAATAATAGCACAAAGAGGGATGCAACACTAAAAAAGGAGAAAACAAAATGGAGGTGATCATCGGCATTCATTCCCCCTCCCCCCCATGTGAATGTGAAACGAGTGTCAGGATCAGGGCATCATAGAAAGAACCAAGGTTTGCCTAGATGGCCTTGATGAGAAGGTAAATGATTACGAGTCCATTTCTTCAGCCGCCTTGATGATTTTGTGTCATGCTTTCCCAGCACACAGTTCCATGTTTTCGAGCTATCCCGGCAGCTCCCTCACTTCTCGATGTATTCGTTCTGCAGCCCGGACTCTGCAAACAGGCCTCTGAGTTTTGTAAAATTCACTTTGGGTGAGAAGGTGCAGATGGTAAGTCTTCTTCCTTCCTTTCTTTTTTCCCCAGCTGGGTTGTTGTAAACGCTTTTGTTGTTGTTCTTAGTTGCGAAGTCATGTCCGACCCATTGCGGCCCAATGGACAATGTTCCTCCAGGCCTTCCTGTCCTCTACCATCCTCTGGAGTCCATTTAAGCTCACACCTACTGCTTCAGTGACTCCATCCAGCCAGCTCATTTTCTGTCGTTCCGTTCTTCTTCTTTTGCCCTCCATCTTTCCCAGCATGAGGCTCTTCTCCGGCCTCTTCTTCTTCCTTCTCATTAGGTGGCCAAAGTCTTTGAGTTTCCTCTTCAGGATCTGGCCTTCTAAAGAGCAGTCAGGGTT